GGAAACCCTAAAATCTGCCACTACAATATTAGCATTCTGAATAACACAAGAAAAAGGAACTTAGAACTTCAGACCCCTTCTATTAAGGCCTATGTCTTCTTTTATAGAAGAAAATAAAGGTCTGTTGGGCTTTTAGGTCTTCTGGCCCATTTGGAATGAGATATGACTTATAAAGAAAATAATCTCGTAACTTAAATTTGATCTGTCATGGAAGGCTCGAGCTTTAGAAAATAGAGCTCAAGCTTTGAGGTTTAGGCTCGAGCTTTGGGAACATAGCTCTAGCTTCAATGGATTATTACTCAAGCTTCAAGGAATAGTGTTCGATCTTCACTTTGATACTTAGCCAAATTTCTTCAACTATTTTTTGAAGCGTCTTTTCCTTTAACACTTAAAATATTTTTAAGATTAATCTCTTTTAACATTGCTCGATCCAAGCTTCATGGGCTCGAGCTCTAGGTACTGAGCTCAAGCTTTGGGTACTCAAGGCTCGAGCTTTGAATGATGGTGCTCGATCCTTAAGGTCTACTACAAGGCCCTGGGAGCTTGGTTATTCTATTAAATCAACTTTTCAAATTCCGACGCCTTGTGCTAGAGCTTGAGGGTCAAGGCTCGAGCACCCTGAGATTAGGCTCGAACATCGTTGGTTAGGGCTCGAGCTCTGAAGGTACAAGGCTCGAGCTTCAACGCCTTGTTGATTTTTCTTCTTTTTCTTGCAAGGCTCGAGCCTCAGGACTTAGGCTCGAGCTTTGGTTCTTAAATTCTTCCAAACTTCACCATTTAAGCTCTCAGCTTGCTCTGGATGACTAGCAACGACTCTGTAAGTTTCGATATCAGTCTTTTCATCATAAGTCCCGGTTTTAACCGTTTCTTTGGGAAAATACCTATAAACACACATTAAACACAAATCAGTCTAACTATGGATAAAAGTATCACTTTAGGCCTTAACATACATATAATTAGGGGCTCGAATATGCAATATTTAACGTTCATCATGCATGAGTAAAGGAAGATTACTACGATGGAGACAATGGTTTGCTAACTTTTGATTTGATGTTGAACATATTGCAAGAGCAACAAACAGTCTATGAGACGCATTAACATGTGAGATGGCTTGTACACTTTGTGACAATTCTATCAAAAATGGTGATAGCCAATATAAATCAATTATCCACAAGGATAAAAATAGTGCACCAGTACCATTACAGTCTACGGACTTAAGAACCCGTAAGGGAAAGTCAAAAGACTATAAATTTAATATTGAAACTTCAGTTTCAAATCCTTCGAAAGGAGAGTTCCTTTAAAAAGACTACAGTCGACAAGTTCAAAGGCAAATAGTCTGGGAATACTGAAGAATTATTCTTTAGAAATCTTGCACTTAGTAGGATGAAAAATCCTACAAATGTTTTCAAAACAAATGAGAAACACTCATTGTTCTCAAAGAACATCTTGGATTCCGTATTGAATGATTTCAAAACCCAAGATGCAAAACATATGCTTACTACATTAAAAGTGACAAGTAAGTATATTACTATGCTCCAAAAAGAATTTAGGAGGCTAAATGCCTTAGAAATAAACAGGGTTACACCTGAAACTATTGATGCTTCTATTCAAAGAGTAGAAATTCAAAAACTTTCAAAAGAAGAAAAAACGATTCAAGATCCAAAAGTTTGGACCACTTTATCAGTGGATTCTGCAAATTTAATTTATCAAAAGGTAGGAAAAACTCACTACGCACATATTCCTAAAGATTATAGGAACACCAACTAGTGCTCACCAAAAATGGCATGAGTTCACAAAAAGATCCAAATTGTTATGTTACTCAGGGACATAATCCTAAGGTGGTTGGGCTAAGTTTCACAACTAGTCAACAACTGTCCAAAAAAGATCACAAATCTAAAGCTTATACTTTAGAAAATGGATTCTTGACAAGTTTTTAGTATCACACTAAAGAAGACACGGAAGGAATGCCAACATCCATCTAGGAAGCCTGCAGCACATTCAAGCCAAAATGACCACTTAATGTTAAGGTCATAACTATATCACTAGAATGGAATGAAATAGATTATTATCCGTCGATTCATCTTATAAGAATGCACTCAGCACCACAATGGCTGGGAATTATCATAGATGAGGGCAGGCAAAAGAAGAAAAAGCCCGAATACACGAGTGATCTTGATAGTCGAGTAAATTGAGCAGCAGGGATAACTATGATCCAGAAAAAGCTTAAAGAATCATGGACACCAAAAGAACAATGGACCACCATATTTTCTAAAGAAAGGATAATAATTCAAATTTTAGCGTTCAAAAATGAATAAAATTTTGAATTAACAAAAGCCATTAAGCAAGGTAGGTTAGTAACCACTCAAGAAACTAAGGAAATAATCGTAGCTATAAATAGCGAAATTGATTATCAAATAATGAATTATGGTATTGATGTCATGGATGACGATAATCTGCTAGATGACATTGGAAACCAAAATCTAGACAACATGATGGAGTATTGACTATCCTCCACCATAGCAAATGTCTTCCAAAGAAGAAACAACCAAAAGAAAAAGTATCTTCAAAAAAGCGCAGACTGGAAAGAGTATTAGTTTGTAATAAAGTTAGATTCGAATTTCAAATCCAAATTGGATTTTAGACCTGTTTCAAGTTCGGGGTCTATAAAAAGGCTCTTAAGGCATTTGTATCAGGCATCTAAAGCTAGAGAGTGAGATATGGTATTGTAAAACTGTTTTCTTTCAAGTTTATGTGTAGTAGTGTTTTCTTTTAAGCTTTTGTGTAATATTTCAGAGTGTTTAAGTACAATGTACTAAGATTTCTTTCAATGAAAAAAGTCAATGTGTTTTCGTAAACTTCTTCAAATACTTCATAGAAAACCTTGAAGTAATATTCCTTTTGGTTCTTATATTTTGTGAACTTTTATTCCTTTTTCGTTAAACTCGGTGAGCTATTGGTGTTGGTAAAAGGGTAATCTGAACAGTTCTCTAGTGGAGAAAAGTCAGTCAAGTGGTGGTTGCTAACCTCGGAATAGAAGAATTCGAAGAACCAAAGGATAACTTCTTAAAGTTTAGTGTATTTAATAGTATTATGTAGGAGCGTGGTGGGCATATATTAGATTTATTTCATGTTTTAAAGCTATAATGTTATCATAGTTATGTTTTGGGTCATTATAATAATATAAATTGTTATGTGGTCCAAAGTAGAAAGTAAGTTCATTATTTAGAAATAGGTTGTGTGGTCCTCCCATTTATTGTTGCTTCATGACTTTGACTTCATGATAGTGTAGTATTCCTTCATTTAGCCCATGTATTGGTAGTTATCCTTAAATAATTTAAACAACAAATACATTATCATGCAATTCATGGCCAAAAATCACTGATTGCAATTCAACACACCATCATAACCATAACTCAATTTCTAATTACCAATTAACGCAATGACACCATTCACATAAAGATATGTTGGCAGTACTTTGGTGGAGACCTATGCAGATTCATTTCTATAATTTATTAAGGGGAAAAATCACATAACCCCCTTCTGCTATCATTTTCGTCCAAAAAAACCTCCTGAAAATTAAACACCCCCCTCAACTAAAGAAATGCTATCAAGTTACCACATACCCTGACTGACCCGTTTATTAGGTTGTGAAATGACAAAATTAACCTTATGATTTAATATTAAATTAAAAACTAATATTTATTATTGTGAAATTACCAAAATACCCATCTTTTTCTTCCTCTTCACTCTCTCTCTAAAACTTTTACCCCTCCCTCTCAAATCAGTCTCTCTTTAGCAATGGAACTAGGCCTCCATTTTTCCTCACACAACTGATTGAGAATAGCCAATGACCGTCCTTTGAGATTTCAGATTTGAAATGAGACACGTAAAAAAAACCATCTGGATTTTCAGATATGAGTTTATCGTGAAGGGTTAGCACTTGTTGTTGTTAGGGCTATGGTTAGCTATTAGCAGCCAGATGCCAAAGAGTGAGAATTATAGATCTTTTTGTCCTCACCAGTCACCACTTTCAGTGATTGAGATGTGAGATAATATAGATGAAAAAGAGGTGCTGAAATTTGTTACTAGAGATACGAGAGATTAGGAGCTTAGACTTGAGAGACATAAGGGCAAATGAGTCGAGAGATAGTAGAGTAATTAGAAATGAGAAGAGGTTAATTTCTTTAGATCTTGAAACTTTTGATTTCCTTTCTCAAGCACACATTGATTCTATTGTAATTGCCTTTGATTATTTGTGATTCTATGGTTTCCATTGCTAGAGAGAGACTGATTTTAGAGAGAGGGGTAAAAGTTCTAGAGAGAGTGAATAGGAAGAAGAAGATGGGTATTTTGGTAATTTCACAATAATAAATATTAGTTTTTAATTTAATATTAATTTTTTTTTCCTAAATGCTAACTTAATATTAAATTATAAGGTTAATTTTGTCATTTCATAACATAATAAACGGGTCAGTTACGAGTATGTGATAACTTGATAGCATTTTTTAGTTTAGGGGGTGTTTAATTTTTATTAAATTTTTTTGAACGAAAATGATAATAGAGAAGGGTTATGAGATTTTTTTCCCTTTATTAATAGACACCAAACATGTGAGAGTTTACTAATACATCATCACCACAGGCACATCTAAGGGTACATAACGGGTCGGGCCAGGCCGGCCTGCTATCTTAATAGCCTAGGCCCGAGCCAGTGGGCTTTGATTCGGGATGGGCCTAAACACATTTTAAGAAGCCCAAGCCCGCCCCTTTGCTTTGAATGGCGGCTGCGGACTTGGAATGGGCCGGGCTGCAAGCTTATAACGGGATAAAATATGGACTTTAAACGGGCTGTAATATGGACTTGAGAAAAAAACAACAAAAAACACTAAAAAAAAAAAAAAAAAAATTTAGTAACTACAGTTTCTTTAAGGAAAAAAAAATACTATATACATGGAGTATTATTAAATGTCTATTAACACGTTACTGATAAAGGAGACCATCATTCATTTCCATATTTTGCAAGTTTCTACAAAATTGTGTAAAAACTAAAAAGTATGTTATGAAAATTTCAGAAATACTTAATTTTATTTTTTAAAAAAGGAGCAGCAGCATAAGCATAAAAATGCCCTGATCACTGACGAGGCTGTACCGGATTTTGTGCATCATCGAGAACCGCCACCACCACTCCACCGCCACCACCAAATAATTCTCTCCCTCACAACAAAAACCACTGCCTCCATAAAACCCCTTTATCCTGACCCCACCTTAAAATGGGAAGCTCTAGCGGTGGGGTTACGGATGACTCCGCCACCATCTCCGACGACGACGCCACCACCGTCACCGACATCGACACCAAAGGCGACGCCGATTCGCCTACTTTGGCCGATTCTCTTCCCTTTTCTGAAGGAGAGAGAGTCCTCGCTTATCATAACCAACAACTCTACGAGGCCAAGGTACCATCTCATTTATGAAACACTCCCTTTGCTTTTCTATTCCTAGTGTTTGGGAAAAAAGAAAACGAAGTACAGAGAAACCAAAAAATACCCATTTTTTTTTTTTATTTTTTTTATTTTTAAATATCTGCTCATTTTATTAGTTTTGTGGGTTATTGCATTTTCTACATAATGCTTTAGGTTTTATACGGTGTATGATTTTATTTGCAAGGTGCTAAAAATTGACATACGGATGAAGGAGTGGAGGTATTATGTTCATTATCGTGTAAGTATTGCTTTGTTCTTATTATTTATTTTTTAGAGCTGTTGATTTATGTGTATTATGGTAGTAACAATGATTTTTAGATTTTACCTCAATTCATTCGATTGCAATGATAAAACATTTGTTGTTGCTCAGGTTTTGACAAGATAGAAATCCCGTCACTAATTTAGTGACGTGCTCTCTTTGTTTTGCAGGGATGGAGCAAAAAGTGAGTACTCTTCTGGTTATATACCTAATATTACAAATAGATTTATGAATTCTAATTTAGAAGTAGGCAGATGAGTGTTAGATTTATTTATTATGATTATTATTAATTTTTCTGACAAAGGGGAAGCTAATTGAAGATTATGGTTAGCCATGGGCAAACACAAGTTGCATAGAAAACTGGAGGAAACCTAAAAGCTGTCCAAAATGGTACTATTTATTAAAAATAACGAATAAAATAAAATAACATAAGATAACTATAAAATATCAGCTCAATCTAAGTCCCATTCGACCACTTACAAAAATCCTGAAAAATTCTATTGGTTTTGTACTGAAAAATGTGAAAATGTGAAATTTGGTTGAAAATCAACACGTCATGCTGGTGAGTATTGACCGTTGGCCCGATTATCATGTATGAGTCTCCGCAGGTTGAAAATGCTCGGAAAATGTGTTAGCCTCTTCATTTGGCCTTCTGGTGGTCCAAATGGTCCTCGTTGTCATCAGCAACCCATTCTACATCAATTTCACATATTGTAGTTCTTATTCTGGTGCATCTTCCATTTTGGATGCAAATTCTTTGATCTCAGCCTAAATACCTTTTGTGGAAGTATACTAGTTTCCATTTGTTTTTTTATTTTTATTTTTTTAAGATTTCATTCAAATTGGTAAATTATTAGCAATTTATTTTATTTTATTTTAAATTTTTGTTTGGAAGATAACTGATAAGTATAGATGTTTATGATTTAGTTAGCATGCTTAATAAGTTTGTTTTTCAGTTGAAATTCTGATTTAGCTGTGGCAGATGAATTGCTGCTAGGACAGCTGAATTTTTTTTTCATTTTTAATTTTTTTATATTATTAAACAATTTTGTTAGTTGGAGTGGAGAAGAGGTGTGCAGATTTGGGTGGTTTATAGGATAGGAAGGGTTATTTTCCATTTTTATGATGCCGTATTCTGCTAACTGCAGTTTTTTTTTTTTTTTTGTTTGAACTTTATATTTTTCAGTTGGGATGAATGGGTTGGCATGGATCGTCTGATGAAATATATTGAAGAGAATATAGAGAAACAGCAGGCGCTAAAAAAGAAACATGGCTCAGAGAAGAACTCAAGGCCCGGGCGTGGCTCACAGATAAAATCAAAAAATTCTACTGGTTAGATTTGTTATACTGTTTAATTATTTATTAGTTTGAAACTTTGAATATTGTAGTTCAATTTCTTTTATGAAATTAAACTCTTAAAATTTCTTTCATTTATTTATTGTTTATTTATTTATTTTTTTGTTTCGGGAGGGGGGTGAGTGGTGAAGGAGGGTTGTGGAGGTGGGAGAGGCTACTCCTTATATATCATTTTTTAAAAAGAGACAAGTAGAACATTACTTAAAAATGCAAATTCTAGCTTCCCTCTGGGCTTGATCACAAACCATAAAACTTGAATGTGTCAAAATATATTTGTAGCAATATATTTCTTATTCTCTTTTGTTTTATATGGCTGAGAGTGATTACAGATCAAGTAAGGATTTTTTAGCTACATATTGTGTCCTTTCACTTTGGTTTTGCCTGTTGAAAATGAATAAGTTAAATATTTCGCTCAATTTTATGTCTTCTCCATGAATTTACATAGAATTATACTCAACTTGTACCTAATATATATACAGAAGCCTAGTATGTTTATATTGAATATTGATGCAATGCAGAACTAATAATTACAATGTTAACTGCAAAAATAAACTGTGTACAACTGGAAATTATCCTTTGAACTGGTCTCTTTATAAGTTTTTTTTTGGAAAAATTGTGCAGTGTCAAGGGGAAAGAAGCGAAAGAGTGACTCTGGTATTAAGGTATGGATATGGTTTACAATTTTAGAAGTGCCTCCAGAATCTATAAGTTTTTTTAGCTGTACTGTTCTGCTAGTTGGTGTTCAAATTCTTGTTTTGTTAATGCTTTGTAGAATAAAAATTGAATTACGGATATTGCTGTCCGCACATTCATGTATATATATTTCTTCATGAATGTTTGTTTACTTCCCCCCTTTTTTGGGGGGGGGTCGGGATTTACTTTTTATTGTTGAGAGATTGATCTTACTTTTGGAAGGTGCAAGAGGTTATTATCAGATTAATATATGTTTACTCAATGCACCTAAAATTTATTTGATTCTTACAATTTTCATTCATTCTTCAATTTATGCAGTTTGTGAACAATACGGGCTGCATAAAGTTAAGTCTCAGCAAGTTCATGTGCTTAAGCAGTGAAGGATGGTCTCTCTCAGAGGGATCTCATCTTTTATATTTTCGAACACCCTTGATAAAACTTATCACATTTTTTTGGGTTTAAAATGTGTTAGCGGAGGATATTGTCAGTGATTCTTCACTGGTCTTCAGGAGAAGGTTCTGCTATACTAGAAATTTTAGAGTATGCTTAGAATGCATAATTATGTAAATAATTTGAATGTAAGAAAGCTGTTTAATGTCATGTTTTAGATTATCATCTTTTGCGAGAACATTCTAGTAACTTTTATAATGGTAATTGTTTTTATTTTTTATTGGGGTTTGCTCAAACAATGTTTAAATTGTGATACTTATTGGCTGCTCCTTGAGCAAATATCAAGGTCAGTCGATGTAACAGGTCACTCTTGATATGCACAGATGGGGACAAATATCAAGCATTTGTGCTTTGATCCCTTTTATGATGAGTTCTCTGCGTCTTCTTATGAATCTTGTTACTCAACTTATTTAAATGGTTCCAAGCTTGATTTCTAAATTTTCAATCCAACTTTGTTTGCATCATATTTAATTTGACATATGGTCAATGATTTCTTTTACTTTTTTGATAGGTTTTCATTCTTTGTTTAGATTTTATAACCAAATTTATCGCTTGTCATTTATTAGGAGAGGGGTACTATACCAATGGAGAAGCTTGTGAACATCCATATTCCATCAACATTAAAGAAGCAACTAGTTGATGATTGTGAATCCATAACGCATCTGGGCAAGGTAATTACATTCCCTACTTTTTCATTATCTATGTGAATTGGATGATACCTGAAAATATTTTTTGTTGGAATGGAGTTGCTAAATTATTAATGTATTTAATTTTTTTACTTTCAGTCATCCTGTTTTCCCTTTTTCAATGGTTATTTGTTGAAATCTGGTCAGCCAATTGTAGAGTGCTAGCATTCCATTGGCATAAATGAAGATGTGCTGGTTGTTTGGGGATTATAATACAAGGAATTTTGGGGATTATAATACAAGGAATTGATCTGGTGTTGATTGTTAAACTTCTAAAATACACAGGCCTATCGGATCTTAGTATAGATGTTTTTCCTTTTTTTTTAGGAGAATATTTTTTTATTATATGCTTCTTTTGGGTAATTCACTGTGTTGGTTCTTTCCTTTCTGATAGTTCATTATTATCCAGTTGAAACATCTCTCTAGTATTACCCTATGTGGCTTGATATCTTTAAATCATCCAGCTAAAAATGGAGGCTCAAGTCCATTGACCCTGTGGCAATAACGCCTTCAAACTAGGTGGGTCCAAGAAGTTATACTTATATGGTCCATGATTTCTTTTGGCATTTTATCTTTTATATGTGATGTTTTGAGAATAGACCACCATTTCCTCATGACCACTATCAATGATGCATTGTCACCACTCCTGGCCTGCTTCTAAAACATCCAAACAAAAGTGTTGAATCCCTCTTAGGATTTCAAATTCTCAATCTTATTCCTTCTTCATACTTGGACGTTCTTTTGACCACCAAATTGGTTCTTTGTGTAGTTGAGGACCTTTTACTTCTTTTCTAGTTATAATAGTTGAGTGATAGGTTACTGCTAATACCTTCATTTTGTTTTCTCAAACTATCATTGTCATAATGGCGAAGGTTAGATCGGTCATAGTTCAGTCTTTCCCTTCCAGAGCCCTTTGTAGGTGGGATATATATACTTAGTCATAATGGAAAAGGTTAGGTTGGTCTTTCCCTTACAGAGCCCCTTTTAGGTGGGATATATATATATACTCCGTCATTTAGTAACCTTAGTGATTTTCAGACTCATTGCTTTAACTCTCTTTTATCACTGTTCTAGTGTCACTTAAAAAAACAATTTTTTTTATTTGGTTGTAATATGTACATATTTAATATTCCCTGTCATTGAAAAAATTGTCATAATATCACCAGCATCAGATTTTAGTGAGCAGTTGAATTAATGACATTTTGATATCTCCATTCCTACCAGATACCTGATCGATTTGAATTTTAAATGAGATCCATACTGATAACTATGGTGGCATAACAGAATATTGATTTTTATATATTGAAAATGGACATTAAATCTAGTGGCATTGTTCTACTATATTACTCTCTTTCAATTTCCTTGCCTAGTCAAAGCATTTCAAACTTCCAAATGCTGAATGTAGCATTTGATTTAAGTAGTTGAGAGTTGATTACCTCTTTTGGTAACTGAATACCTTGTAAGATATACACTATGCAGTTTGGAGTCGTACATCATGGTCAGGAAATCCCTTTTCTAATAATTAATTGTGAACTGTAAATTCTTCCAGATGTAAATATGAGATAGCTTAGTTCGACCTCTCTTGTATGTCTAAACAATATCATTTATACATTACCGTGGCTGATTGAGAGGATGAGAAAAAGAGCGAAAAGTGGGAGTGTGGCATTATAAATTATCTGAAATAACCATTTAGGCTTCTCTCTCTCTGTTTTTCTCTCTCTAAGGTGGAAGTTATCACATCTACTATTGAGAAAGTTGAAAGATTGGTCCAGTAACCACCTCTAAAATTAGGAGGCTCACTTGGCTTTCTAGATAGTATAGATATAATTCATTCACTATCCTTTCTCAATCTACAGTGATTAAGGTGTACAATGCATAATAATCAGATTATCAGACTCAACTTTTGGATGTCAAAATTACATGTTGAAAGTATATTCGTGCAATTAATGTTTTCATGATCAGAGCTTGCCCTATAGAAGAGATAACCAGCAAAAATCATATATATATATATATATATATATATATATATATATATATATATTCCAAAATTATATCTTCTCTGTGCACTCAAGTATGAGGTTGACATGAAGAAGATTTTGCATATCAAGGAGTATAATGGATGAATGGGAAAGGGTTTCTTCATTGAGTTCTCTCAACATAGGTGAAGTTTCACGAAATACCACTTACTTATGACTTAAGTGATGGTATGCCCTTACATGAGTCAATTGTGGTATGCTATGTTATGTTTAGCTTCTCTTAGTTTTTCACCGTGCATGGTTTCAATGCCACTCATATTTGTATAATGGAAATAACCAAGAAATCTTTACTAGTTACTACCTTCTGAAAAATCTTTATTAGTTAATGTCATATAATTGTAATTTACTTTATTATGGCCATTTGTGATATATTGCAGAATGCATCTTGGCGTTATCGGTAATGAAATTTTAGTATTTGATTAATGTGGATGATCCTTTTTTTTGTAGCTTGTTAAACTTCCTCGTACTCCCAATGTTGATGATATATTGAGCAAGTATCCTGAATACAGGTTGAAGAAGGATGGCGTGTAAGTTTGCTCTATTTATTCTGAAACTTTGCAGCCTCTGGTTCATTTCTTGTTTGGCCTGTTAGTCACTTTATTTATTGTTGACTTGGGTTTGTAAAAGCACATTTTTAAGAATGTTTTAAGGATGGAAAATTTAGTCTTCTCTCTCATGCAGGAGTTGGTGGGTTCAGATTGCTATAGCTGTCCTTCGAACATGCATATAATCAAGACACACATACATAATTCCAAAATATCTCATCAACTTAGTCATTGTCTAACTTTACTAACATACCTCGTTATCGCCTTTACATGGCCAAAAAGTTTCACCATAGAATAGATCGATCTAGTTCCCGTTCTTTTCTGGTGCACTCACTTTACATCTCTGACACACAAGGAAGGACACGGTGGGAAGGAAGCAGCCCTAGCCTCTATCTGGCCGATCATTCCGCTGGCATCTCGCATTCATGCCCCTGTTTGACTGCCGCTCGGGGATGTAGTTGTAGATATGTTAGTCTTAGTGGGTTCTACGACATGCTGTTGTCGTCGCCATATTCCATATGTCACTTAGTCATCTCTGCCTTGCTGCTGGTCAGCACCTCCAAAAGAAACGGAGGACTTCATTCAGTGACCCCGCAATCGCCCAATGAAAAGGCAAGACCAAATAGAAAGAGTACAGGCCCTGGAATCAACTAGCTGGAGTATATGGACTTTGTTTGTTTGCCGATGAGGTCAAACTAGAAAAACAGTTTCTTTGGATTTTTCTGTTAACCGAAACGTATAAGTGGGTTTGAATCAAATGCAGAAAAATGTTTCTGGGGAAAAAGAAAAAGTCAAAAGACAACAACGCAAAGGACTTTCTTTTCTTTTCTTTTTTCCGTAAAAAAAAACATTTGATCAACCTTTTATAAGGGTATTTGAGCTATCTTTTTTGAGTATACAGTGCTATATATATATATATATATATATATATATATACAATTTTGGGGAGAAATCTCAGAAATCAGAATCATTTCTGTTAACTTAATCACCAAATTTCAATTGCATTTGTTTTCCTTTAGTGTCAATGAGTAAGGTGGACTGAAAGTCTGAGTTCATTGTAAATGTCTCAAAACATTTTTGTGGTACCGATATCTTGGCTGAAGAACAATTAAGGTCTTAGCTTCAGTTTTCCAATTTAAATTGATGATTGTAATATAGGCATCTGGCCATCATTAACTTATTGTAATTGAGTAGTCATGTCAGTATGAGTAGTAAGGAATGTTTCCATTAGTAATACTTTTATCTATGCATTCTAATGTGCCGTTTGCAATTTCTATATTTGGAAATTCTTGCGAATCTACATTGTATCAAGTGCTATTGATTTGGTACTATACACCTATATATATATATATATATATATATATATATATATATTCATTAGGCTTATTTAGTACTGTATTGGCAGTTTGACGTCTCTTTATTACATTAATTGATTATTAGGAATTAAATGTATAATGGTAGTAAATTTACATTTAATTTGACTTGGTGGATAAAGGATAGCTGATTCGGTTGGAGAAATTCTGAAAGGGTTACGATGTTACTTTGACAAAGCGTTGCCAGTGATGCTTCTGTACAAAAGTGAGCGTCTACAATACCAAGAAGCAATTACAGATGACGTCTCTCCTTCAACTGTATATGGTGCTGAACATCTATTACGGCTCTTTGGTATGCTCATAATTAATGCTAAAGAGGATATTTTTTATTTTATAATTGTGAAATGCTTCCTTGGTTCATGTAGATGGAAAAAATGCATAATATTTGTAGCAATTTGGATTGATGGTTGTTACTTCTTTGTGTATGATATTTACAATATGTATTTTGATAAGTAGTATGATATTTAAAATTTGTATGCTTTTTGTCTGCTTACAAATTTAGTAAATCCAATTGGTTTCTTAATTAACCGTATTAAGTTGTATAATTTAAGTTCTCTAAAAATTTTGGTAAATCCCATATAACAATCATGTGATTTCAGATCTTTTGGTGCATATGGAGTTAATCAGTTTCTTGAATTTCTAGGCTTCATAAAAAAATTTCCCTCAAAAAAATCCTGAATGAAGATCTACTTGTATTTTATGGATCCACAAATTTGGATCTAAGTTTGACGTAATATCCTCCTGCCGCACTCTTAGATTTTGGAGACGACAGAAGCTAGCTCTGTTCAGCCATGGAAGAGAAGAGCTAGGTCTCTTAAGTCAGCTTCAGACTTTACCCTTGCAGATATTGAAACCAAAAGGAAAATGCCTCTTTTTTTTTTTTCTTTAAATTTATCCTTCTTTATATTTGTAGTTATAAAGTAGTACTATTATAATTGATCATAGGTTCTGGGATTATGTTCTGGCTCATAGGTTCCCTTGGCTGTTCAGGATCTCTTCGACTAGACATGCCCTGGTTGCCCACTGTTATCATCTTGATTACAGGAGGTTAACTTGGGATGTGTAGTTTCGTAGATGGTTTCATGGTTGGGAGCTTGCAGAGGTTGCTGAGTTCTTGGCCTTGCTCTGCAGTCAGGTGGTGGAGGGTGTGGGAATGGATGAGATGGTGTGGGTGGGCTCACTGAGAAGGGTGTTTCAGGTTAGGGCATTCTTCCATAGTCTGATGGTGATCCTAGGTCCTTCTTTCCCTTGGAAGGCAATTTGGATGTCGAAAGTTCCATTGAAGGTGGTTTTCTTTAAATAAATTAATAAACAACTGGTGTTGTATGTGCAAGAAAACGGAGGAAACAATTAATCACCTCCTTCTCTGCTGCCCGGTGGCGAGAGATGTTTGGTCTATGATTTTGGTCACTTTTGGCATGTCTTGGGTGTTCCCGAGAACCACTTTGGATATGATTGAGGCTTGGAAAGGGTGTCTTGTGGAGAGCCGACCAAGGGTTGTTTGGAGGGCCACTTCCCTTTGTTTATATGGTGGGGTTTGTGCTGTGAAAAAAATAGGAGGTCTTTTGAGGGAGAGGAGACTCCTATTTGGTCTCTCAAATATAGCATACTGCATACTTTATTTTTTTGGGTTAACGGGCGTAATTTTAAATCTTTAGGGGATCTTTTCGATTTTGTGGATAACTTGAAGCTTTAGTTGTTGCCTTTGGTGTTTTGCATATTCTTCGGGAGCGCTCCCCTCTTGAGTGCCTTTTATGAAATCTTACTTATCAAAAGAAAAAAGAAAAATTGATCATAGACTGGTCCATATCAGTAATATTCTAGATTTGTATGTTGGGTCAATACAATGAGAATAATTTTGGATATTTACTATCTAATTCATATGCAATAGTGCGACAGAAAATTTCAGTATTATTTTGTCCATGCATTTAGTTTGCCTTTGAACTAAGTTTTGTCCAGTTTTAGGACATTGGATGCTGACCAATTTAAAGAACTTATTTATCTGAAATTCCTTACTGTGTTAACGGTCCAAGTACCATGCTTCTTCCAGTAACTCAGTAACTTTCGTGGTATCTGCAGTGAAGTTGCCAGAGTTGCTGTATTACGCAAACATTGAAGGGGAGACATTGACAGAGTTGCGGCAGAAATTGGTGGACTTTCTCAAGTAAATATCCATCATTCTTCTGATTATATTGTTAGCTATTGGCAAAAATTGTCTCATATTTTCCATATTTCTTGCAATAGAATTTCATGTACAATAAAAATGAACGTGGGCAAAACTCAGGTGGCAAAGAAAATAATATGTACAGGTGGTTGGTGATAAACAAATGATAAAGTTGCCTGAATTTTAATTCTCCCATTAGGTTCTAGCTTTAAGTGGTGACTAGGTGTGGCTTGTTAGTTTATCCCACTAAGTTCTAATGGTATGTGTTATTGAATTAATGCCAATACATATATAAAAAGTAGGGTAAAGTGCAAAAAACCTCCTTCAACTATTGGCCATGAAGCAGAAAACCCCCCCTAATCTACTAATTTGGCATATAACCCCCCTGAACTAACCAATTTGGTGCAATTAACCTCGTCCGGTGATAAGCCGGTTGAATTTGACCGTGAAGACGCACATGATGGGTCACGTGACTACCCAAATTTCTTTAAATGACCATACAACCCTTTAAGTTAAGTGAATCAAATGACACATATACCCTTATTATTGTCTAGTCCCGGAATAGTGCTCGAGCCGCAACCAAATAAGGCCTAAGTATCTGTTGTATTCTATTGTAAAGCCCAAACACAATATACAATCCAAAAAATGATAAAAAAAAAAATAAAAATAAAAATAAAAATACAGATCCAAAATCGAGCAAGAGGGTCGGCTGTGAAGAGCTCGTCCGCGATGGAGGGGTCGGCTGTGAAGAGGTCGTCCGGTGAGGGTTCGGCCGTGATGGTTTGACCGGCGATGGAAAAAGAAGCTCGGCTGTGAGATTGCGGCACGGCCTGAAATTATCAGCCGCCACCACTGCAGCAGATCGATTTATTGACGAAGATTTGGTAACCACCTGCAAATCAAGACCGGTGGTCGTGTTGTGTGTTCTTGGCTTTCAATTTGGGATTTGGATTTGGTGGTGGTGGTGGTGGTTGTCTCGCAGTGTAGATCAAGACCCGCAGTCACTGCCACCTCTTCGCCTTCAGCATCGGCTTCATCGCCGCTGGAATAACCAGTGGCTCCATCACTGAATGAACCCATTTTGTCGTATTGGGGAAACCATCGTAGAGTGAGAAAGTATGTCGAAACGGCCATGGAATGTGACTGTAGCTCCGGGAGTAGTCGACGGTTGTTTGAGAGTCACATTCGCTACGGTGCCCGAACCGGTGAGAACACAAAGACCCGTATTCCTTTTCCGGCAGAACAGCGACACGACATCGACCACATTGACGCCGCCGGCGACCTCAAGCACGTGCGGCTCATGGAAGGCTCGGTGTTGCGGGTTATGATGATGGGTGGTTTGGGTTTGTTCTTGGAACCAGGAAGTCGTCCTCTGGCGTGACGAACCACCTCGATGGTGGCTCCGTTGCCGCCTCTTACAGTGGGTGTGATGGCGCCGCCCGGACTACAGCTGTCGGCTTCCTCAGAAGTTTGGGTGAGTTGGAAGTGATTGTGGTGGTGGAAATTGTGGGTCTGGTTGAGCTTGGTGAACATGTTGTTTTGGGCGATCCTTTTCTTCTATGCATTCGCCTTTCATCTTCTCTTTCTCTCTCTAAATCGATAGCAAATTGTATGTAAATATCTCTATCAGACAATATATTCAAAGGGTTGGCCAGTGTCAGACCATGGTCATAAGGTTGCTTTTTGTTGCTGAAAATTTAACTGAAACGATGCAGTTTTTATAAGGGGTAAAATTGTCTTTCACTATTTCCGTTTACGCCAATTGGCCGGAGATCTGACATTGGGGGTTAATTGCACCAAATTCAATAGTTCAAGGGGGCAACTTGTAGTTCAGGGGGGTTACTTGCACATGGCCAATAGTTGAAGGGGGTTTTTTGCACTTTACCCTAAAAAGTATGATAATGTTCACTTGGACCTTATTTTGTTTTTAGGTTCTAGGGTGAAGTGGTGGTGGCTAAGTGTGGGTACTTAGTTGTCCTAATATCTAACAATATGTTGCATTTTTGTTAATGAGTCAATGATTCTACTTAGGAAAAAAACGAAAGTAAAAATTGTAAAGCTGTCCAATTTTAGCTTCTTCTATGCTTTACATAGTGGATTAAAGAAAAATTCAAAAGTGGAATGTGAGAACCTGATGCCAGCAGATAAGCCCGAAGAAGTATGCCATCTTCTTGAATAAAACCAAGATCTTGAATGCACGAGAGTGAAATAGAAAACCTTGAAGATAGTGATATTATTGAATTAATCAGTTGATTATAGATGAAATTATAGAAGGCTTACAAGGGCGCATTCTATGATGCATGTTGTTTGCCCGTGATACAGTGCTACTGGATACCTCAAAAGAAAATTTACCAATAAAAATTGGAGATGTATAGAAATGCGCTAGAATTGAAAGGCTTAAAAATTAGTAGGACAAATTCTGAATATATGGTGAGTAGATAGGGATATGATTAGTAGAATTGGAGTAGGGTGGATAAAATGGTGATAAGGTAGTTTATTTTATTTTTTGAGATAAAATAATGATTTATCGGAACACTTATTAGGCCAACTATATTACATTTTGCGTAGTGCTGGACTTTAAAAAAGAAGCAAGAATAACGGATTCATGTGATGGAAATGATTGTGTCAATATGGATGATAAGAGTTATTAGAAGAAATAGTTTTACTAACTAAAATGTGGGAGAGAAATTAGGAGTGCCGCCTAGTAATGACACAATAATAGAAAGTAAACTTATGTGGTATAACATATACAAAGGAAACCTATAGATGTACTGGTAAGAAGAGCAAGACTTATTTACATAAAAGGTAGGTGACAGAGGGAGACTAAAATTAGCATGGGATGAAATTATTAGAAATGATTGTAAAAAGTTAAATATTTTTGGAGAGATGACTTGTAATTTCAAATAGTGAAATAAGAGGATTCATGTGGCCAAACTTATTCATGTTATATTAAGACAAGGATAATAATGATGATGATGATTATAGATACCATAAATATATTACATATATAATGTAGACTCCTAAATCACGGGTGTGTTAAATCACCACAACAAAACGAAGAAATTACTAGAAACAACAAAAACCTAAATTGACTTGAAATCTGCATTGATAACCAGTGTTATCTTTTCTACTTTCCAAAGAGGAAGTTCCCCATAATGGAAGATATTCCTTTGAGAGTTTGGGAGGTTGTCTTACATAAAAAGGTTGTCCATAGTTGTTCCATCGATATCCTATGTGTTTTGCCAATATCAATTGGATTTCACTAGTCATTATACTCAGGTGATAGATTATTTTTTGTCATGTAGGTTTCTGCAGAAGAATCAGAGTGCATTCTTCCTATCTGCTTACCAGACACTGGAGGATTTTGATACACCTACTAGCAGTAAGAAACTTGATGACTGAGCAGGAAGGATTTAGGTAGATATTTTGTGGCCATTGGGTTCTCTCTTTTTCTGATTCTACTTTGTGAAACTTTTTTTTACATGCTTATAAAAAACATCTGATCTATCTGTAAATATGATCTACGACGTTGGGTATGCCATTTAGCATCTCTAGGAAGATGATGCCATCTACCTCTCCTTGAGGTTGTTGTAGACCAACGCTACTGGTCTTCCCAGCTTGACTATTAACAGAATAGAATGCTGAATTTTTATTTATGAAGCATTTGTAATCATCATCAAATGGGGTGGCAACAATCTGAATTAGTTCTTAAAACAATAATATCTTTGGTATATTTTGCAAATTTTGTTCCTTATAGAAGCACTCTAGTATGCAGAGTATTCATCAAATTAAATTACATCAAAATCCTTGATAGTTGAAATTTTCAGAAGAATGCTACTAAGACGTTAAAATTGTCCGAACAGACTTTTTTGCTAGGTAAGAACAAGCTCACTCGGCATAAAAGGTGATTGAATAATGAGGCTCTTTCTGCCAACTATAGTAACTGAAAAGTAGGAAGGGGCCGTTGCTTGGTGTAATGGAAGTACGATTGTGCATAATAATGTCATACCAAGGGCTGTTACTGGTCTTCCAATCTATACTGAAGCCAGCAGCTCAGTGATCTTTTTAGGAAAATGAAAAGTAGAAGTTACTGTCTAGCAGTCTAGGCGCCTTCAGGTCTCCGTTGCAGTGGCACAAGGGAACGTCCAGAGCCTGGCTCGGTAACAATTACTGTACATTTCTTTTGAACACTCATTTGATGAGCCTCTTGGTTCTATCTGAACTATGCTTTAGCCTATAACACTCGTTTTATGGTAAGGTTCTATACTAGAGAGTCAGTCGGGTTGCATCTATATCATAGACTGGCGTAAGAGGTATAAAAATCAGTTTATTGTTGCTTCTGATGAGCCTAAGGATTTTAATGTCTAAATGTTCCTACTCTCTTATGTGACGATTGTTCTTGTTCTACAGCATTCGACTGATACTGGTTTTAGTTATAACTAAATGTTTTAAGAGAGCATCTGTTTTACCTCTTAAAGTCTATAATGGATCCAATACAAATAGACTGTTCCAGATGGGAAAATATTTATTAGGACGATTGAGGAGGGCAGTAAATTGAGCTGATGCTATTATTATGTTGAAGTCGGAAAATGGACATTTCTCCACTTCTTTTCTGGGCAGAAATATAATTCATTTACAACAAATACCATGCATTGAAGAATCTCTCTATATCATAGGATTGTTAAATGGAAAAATGTTTTTTAAAATGAAAATTTGTGTTATAATTTAGTTCGAACCATCAATTTAAAATAAAACTGGTCCATAGATCAAATGACATGGTAGATATATTGGCCATTATTTGGAAAAATTACTTAGTCATACAAATTTTCTTTAGGATCAATAACTCTTTTGAGTTTTTTTTGTTCACTTTTAAGTCCTAAATACTAAATCTTCCATTTTATATCCTTACTAAATAGAAGTAAAATTATGTATTTGTAAATTTATTCAAGAATTGATATATAATTTATTTATTTTATATATTCCCTTAATTTTTAGTTAATTAATAATATTACATTATGAGTTAAAATAATAATTAATTTAATTTAAATTCAATTAAAAAAATGGTGTAGGATACACGATTTTAGTAGCCCAAAAAATAATTATTATTATTCTATAAAAACTTTCATAAAATGTATTTTTTTTTCTTCTTTTTATTCAAATTTTATGTCTAGTTTTGGAAGGGCAAATCCTAAATAGGAAAGTTTTGTGTCTAAATTTTAGATATAATTTAGTAAGAGAATATACAAGGGTAAAGTGCAGGAAACACCCTAATGTATACTTTTGGTAGCATTTTTAGCCCCTGTTTGAAAAAGTGTGCAAATAACACTCTTAATCTTTTAATATTGTGCAAAAATACCCCTTAAATAAAAATTTGACTTAAAATTATGTTGTCATGCCCATTTTGCCCTTTTAATTTTCCAAAAATACCCAAAAAAAAGTTTTGTGTATATTTTATTATCTTGATGGGTTGGCCCGTTTCAATCTGGGTCAGACCCAGATCAAAGTGGGCTCACCACATGAGATGGGATCTGTTTTGCTAACCAGAGAGCCCTCCCTCTCGCACATCAAGGTCCGGCGACGACAGTCGCCGGAAACTGACCCAACACCACTGGCCTCATTCTCGGGCCGACAAACACCTCCCCCGTCACATTACTTCTCACAGCCTCCACGCCGAGAAAATCTTCGGACCCAGCAGAAACGTCCCAATCCTTCTAACCAGATCGTCGCCGCTGCCTCTGCCATTAGAGACTCCCAACACAACTCAAGCCTATTTATGACTCACTCATGGAACGATAACATCCCACCATCTATTAATCCTTCGTTGTCCTAGTACACCACCACGTATGGTGAAATTCGTTGGATATCAGTCAAAATTCCGGTGTCGACAGTTGATTGGATAGTCGGAGAAAAAATAAAGACTGTTTTCTCACCATCCATGAGTCCGATTACTTTGAAAGATAAGAATTTAAAGGTACGAATCGAAACAAACTCGATATCGAACCCAATTCTCAACTCACAAACGAACTGACCCAGATTGTCTTTGACCAATCCCGATTCGATTCCCACTGTGAGCACCTCGCTACAATGGCTTCAATCTAACATTGTCACCGATCAAGTCCAATACATTGCCGTAGAGAACAAAATCTTCCTCAAAGATCCATTTTTCACTCTACCAAACTCTTCAAATACCAAGTTGTGATAAAACAATCAAGCATTCCTCGCCCCATTCAGCGTGTCCATATTCAGATCCTGCCATGTTAAGCGTTGTTGTCCCCTTCTTCACTGTCTCATCGCTGTTGCCGGAGTATTCACTGGCCATCGTATTCTCTGACCGTCGTATTTGTCGTCATCAGAGCTTCCTTCAGTCACTGTCGGTTAGAGAGAGCAAGAAAGGGGAGAGAGAAGGAGGCCCCAGTAAAAAAAAAAAAAGAAAACTTAGGTTGCTGTCACGTGGGCTAATGGAGCAGTCCTCACAGGTTTTCATTTTTGTGTCCTTTTCTGTAATGTTACAAAATAATGTATTTTAAAATAATTTATTAAATGTCTCATAAAGGGCAATTTAAGCAAATTCTAACTTATACGTGCAAGGGAGACTTATTTGCACCAAATCAATACTTTGAGGGTGTTTTGTGCACGTGAGGAGTGTAATATGCACTGTAAGCATAGTATATGAGTGTTTTCTGCCCTTCACCCAATATATAATATAGTAAGAGTGTAAAAGGCAAATTTAGTGATTGGGAACTTAAATGGAAAAATATCTCAAAAAGTATCGACTTCTTGGCCCTAAAAATTTTGTTTTAGGACTTATTTGTCTTTCAACGTGAAGACTTGGTTGTAATTTTTTCTTTTTCTTTTGCATTCTTTTGTTTGGCTTATTTGTTGGTTTGGTTGTTAACCGGCAAGTTTAAGGGTTTGTTTGGTATGCGCTTTGTTTTTGGTGTTTTTGTTCTTGTCTGGGACTGTAACTGTGAGCAATGGAAAAAACACGTTCGGTAAAAACCATTTTGTTTTGCATAGTGCCGAAATATTTCATGAATAGTAGTCGGTGTTCTTATATGTTTTTGCACTATAGCATTTGGTAGTGTAGTGATGAACAGTAATATATATATATATATTTGAATTACTCTAAAATGACATTTTTAAACTAACCATTATATTTTTTTAAAGTTGCAATATTTTTTTACCAAACATGTTTTGACATTTTTACTTTCAAAAATATGATAATAAATGAACGTTACCAAACATGCTTTTGATTATTACTACTCAAAGCACTTTATAACAAAACACTTACTCCGTATTTTGTTTCAAGTTATAATAAAACGTCAAAAACAAACACCGTACCAAAGAGGCCCTAAGTTGTGTTGTGTTGGTGTAGTTTCCTTATTCCACCATAAATGTCCTCTATTTATTGCGGCCTGAAGTAACTCTAGCTCTCCATTCATTAAGTAGTTATTTAATTGTGTTTGATGCCACTTAATATAAGTTGATAATTTAAGTATCCAATTTTTATATATATCAAATTTAAATTATGTGAATGGGTGATGGACCCTGTTATATGATGTCACTATTATATCATATGATGGGATCCACCACCATTTCACATAAATTAAATTCAATCCCTAAATCATTATTTATGATTTAAAGAGGATTGTACTTATTTAACTCAAAACACTACAAAATTTTGTTTTCTTAGTTTGGCAACTCACAGACGCATGCCTCCACTAAAGTTCAAACTCCTCATCTCCCTTTGGAAAGCAAGGACCTGGTACTGCTAGACCATAAGCCTGTTAATAATGTAATGACCAAAACCCGAGGCTCCGAATCGCTAAGCGAGTCCTCACCCGAACCCGAGGTCAACTAAAAATGTTACCGTCCTTTCCTATATCAATACATAATATACGTGTCATCACAGGGTTAATAAATAATAATAATAATAATAATAATAATAATAAAATGAGATCATAGCTACAAAATATGACAAACAGTCCACTAACCCATCAAAACCTATGGAGGAACGTCGTTCGCCACTTCTTTCCCGCGACCTGAAAAATGTTAAAATGATGGGGTGAGCTAAACGCTCAGTAGGAAGTGTTGAAGACACACCTCTTATGACCCCATGAATCCATATAAAGAATAGAAAGTAAGAGAACGAGATCATATCTCGGGAGTCAAGTAAAACCACTGTATTATCAACAAACATACATATCTCAACCAATTACCAAATGCACCACGTATGCCAATGATGTGCCATGCCATGCAATGTCACTCCCCGTTTCTAAAACCATACCGTTTCAACTTCCAAACTGTTAGTGTAATCCGACCCAAGGCACCTCCAAAACGTCACGAAAGGGGGATTGGCTAACCATCCACGACCACAAGGCACCTTAAAGGCGTCGCATCCGGCCTGGTTAGCTCAACCACACTAGAGTCTCTCCCTAGTCCTCTCTCTAGACCACATTAACACCACAGACTACTAGGCGCCTCCTAGGCGTCTGGGTTTTTACAAATACTTTTCAAAAAAACTTTTCCCCAAAACAATTTCATTAGTTTTAAAAAATATACTTTTCCCTTTTTTTTCTTTTCCAATGGATGCATAAATGCTTCATGATTCCAAATGTCAAATTCAACAACTATATTTCATACATTTTACCCATATCATAATCACAACTTGTAAAAGAATATTTTAAACAATTATTTCTACGATTATGACATCAAATTTTCATGACAATTGAAATACATAAA